TTCTAGTGACAAAAAATCCTCCGCAATGATTCTCTGGGTCATGGAGGGACACAGAATTTACGAAAGAATAAGAAGGCCTAATGAAAAACATTTATTACCCATGCTTGTAATAAGTGGGCTGACTAACCACTAACATTTACTTCTTAGCATTCAACAGATAGTGTGTCTTAGGTTAAGGGGATTGTAATTCGATATTGAAAAATGTCAAAAATTGCTATTTCCTCTCCAAGTTTTCATGGGAAAAATCTGTTTCCTCAGAACATTTTTATGATCGTTTGGATTGATGTGTTGACAGAAAATGTCTCCAGGCCACAAGTGTGGGTCCAACAAAACCAAACTCTGAGGGGCTGTGGGAACATACACAATGATTTTCCTCTTTTTTTGTGGGGGCGAGACCCTCTGTGGATGTGAGGGTTGAATTTTGTGGTTTTAATTGAGGCTGTAGAACAGCTCCATTTATAGACGTAGAAGACATGAGATTTTCTTTTGTCAGATAAGACAGGAATTTAGATAACAGAACCATGTTGTCCTGCAGGAATAAAAAGATTTTTTCAAGTCAGTGTCACAGTTTCTATATTCCAATATAAGGTACTTCATCGAGAGAATAATGTTCATAGGCTGTACTCCACAGGAAGGGTAGTTGAAAAGGAAAAAACTAAATGAAAAAAGTCAGACCTTTTTGCATCACATACGGGTCAAACTGTTTATTTGTCAGCTGCAGTTACACAGGAAACAGGTTTTGAACTATACAACAGCAAGCTCTGTGAAATGCACTGTCTGAAAAAATGTTCAGGGTTGCAAATGTAATTTTGTCTGTTGGGGGGGTGGTGGCATCAGAAATTCAGGCTAACAAGAGCACAGATTTGTGTTTTCAACTCATATATAGTCATATATAGTGTGTGTTTGCCGTAATTTCCATTAATACAGAGCTTTTAAATGACAGAAAAGGATCATCATGATGGCACAGCATTATGAACAAATGGAATTTTTAAAACTCAGAACAGAAGAACAAATGCAGTGAAAGCACTTTGCACAAAAAGTGCCCCTGAAATGACGAATAACAGTATAAAAAGTGCTGAACAGCATGTAGACAACAAATACAGTTTGGATCAGGCTTTTAAATTATTACAAAAATAACTTTCAGGGGGTGACCAACCAGCATGGCATCATTTTATATACTGTTATATAACATTAAACGTCTTGCATTGTTTTTTCTTATGAATAGTAATAGTTCGAGATGCAGTGATCAGTGTTGGTGGTTGTTACATATTACTATAATACTTTTTCTTTAGCTTAAAAAACTAAAAAGCCTAAATATACCATAAATATATATTTTTTGTAGCCATCATGATAGAGTTGCACTCTCACAAGAAACACTGTATAATAACAACGATATAAACTCGTTAACTCAAAGGCTTTTAAAGTGAACATTTATTTAAGCTTTCACTTGAGCTTTAATGTAAATCAATTTAATGTACTCTTTCCTTGCAATAATACACTGAAGCTCCACTCAAACCCGTGTAAGTCAGGATGCCCCTTTCCATTCCTCCTCCCATATTCTTTTTGTCTTTGTCCAGTGCTGAGATTTGTCCAAGTATACAAAAATAAATGTCACAAACCGAATTTTGTTGACTACTTTCTTTGGTTATCTCACACTGGTCCAAAGCAATGATTCTTGCTGAGCATATTCACCAATTAGATTGTATTTAAAAAATATAAATACATAAACATTCACTGACATAATCAAATGTCTTATGATATAAACTAAGAAAAATAGAGACTGTATGAGACTTCACAAGTAACACTGCTTTGGAAGACTGGATAATCATTCAGTGGTGATTTGTTTTTGGTGGTGTGGGTGTCAGGATTGGGTATGAAAGGAGCATCCACCAAAGGATTTGGCTTTCTAACCAGTGAATGATCAGTTTTAAGGTTTAGGGAGGGGGGAAATAACTTATGGCTGAGTATGGCAACTATTGTTGAATAAAAGCGATTTGGACACCACAACACAGAAACTAGAAACTGGATGAACCAATGAAGTGATCAGTTTATAGCATGAAAACAATTTATGTAGACTGGTTGGTCAAATTAATTCCCATAATTATTATTTTCTTAATCATAGAAGAAAAAAAGGATTGTTACTCGTATGGTTAATGTAAAGCATCTTGAAAAAAAGTATTTTTTTATTTTGCTTTGGCAACCTTTTATTTAAAGGATATCTATTTACATCCTTAAAATCCATGTTTCTTAATGAAGCCCAAAAGCTTACTTCATTTAAACAGATATGTGGTACTGCAGCATGGAACTAATTGCTATGCTTGATGGTCCTCCAGGATTATGTACCATGAAAAAGAAAACTCTGCCTCACTCATTGCTCTTTCAGTACTGTATCGAACAAAGTCATCACTTGCCCTTCCTCTGCTCTCTGGAAAAAAAATCTTTGACTCTGACATGTGAAATCCTCGCTGTCAGGGGGTATGGGAGTCTGCTGATTAGACTGATTAGGTTGTGTAAATCAGTCCCATCAGCTACTGGAGAAAAAAAATCCCACCTGCAGCATAGAAACCCGTAGATAAGCAAGATCAGAATAGAATCCAAACGTAAACCAAAAAATTTTTGGCTCCTTTGCAGGTGAAATTTAAAGAACAGACACAATGTTTTCCCACAAGCTCATCGAGAAGAATGTCAAATACATTATGATGCTCTGGGTTTATGTAAAAGTTCTTGTGTTATTTAGCTTTGATGGTTTTATTATGCCGAGGTAACATTGTGTTGCGTGGAGGCATGGAGTTTAAATGTGTTTCAAATCTTTATTCTTCTCAACAGGTAATCCTGCAAAAAAAGCTTTGTGTCTTCACGGTGACTCCCTGGAAAAAGGGTGCAAAAGAAGTTGCAAGCTTCATGTGTCCACGAGCACAACGAGGTCCAAATAGAACATCAGCGATAGCATTAAAGCAAAGTATAGAGCAAAGTTATACAGGCTTGTGTGAAGATTACCTTCGTTCTGCATAATATCTACAATAAAATATAGTTTATACAGGCCAACAGGCTTTATTATTTTTAAGATTTTCTCTGTCTCTTAACAGTCATGACTTTTCCATCAACAGGTATGCACAGATCACATAAAAAAACAGCAGAGCTCCTATAAAGCTTTCATCACCTCCAAAACACATCTCTTAATAGAGTACAGAAGAAGGATGTGATGCCTAAAAGAAATCCCATGAAACATCTTTCCTCAGTGGGAACCCTTCGTAGGATAAAAGCCCATTAACACTAAGCTCAGCCTCTCTCTTAGAGCTTAGTGACAACTCTGGTGTCACTAAGCTCAGACATAAGAAACGATTCTCAGCTAATATCTTTTTTCCCTGGGATTTGATTGAAATAATGATATTTAGGTTCAAATCCTTAACATTAGCCACATGTCAGGATTTCCAGTATCTCCATTCTTCTTCTGTACTTTACAGTGTGAGAAGCATTCGTTTTCTCTGCTTTGAGTAGTCAATTGAGCTAATATGGTCACATTCCTTGATTTGTCTTCAGTTAATTTACATTCCTAGCTGTTTAGCTTTACTGCATCCGTAACCTGCTTGCGCAGTTCTTCTTTGTCTGCATTTTTGTCTTTGTTTTTCAGCTTAGTCCGTACAGCGGAGACTCTGTTGCCTTTGGTGTTTGCAGGGCATCGGACCACCCTTTTACTGGCCCGAATCTACAATCTTCTCCCACTTTTGGCAGAAGGCTGTGTTCCCCTTGCGATTTTAAACAACTACCTTCCATTTGTTTTTGCTGGTTGGTAGAATTTACTGCCTTGTCATCTCAACTTCGAAGCTTGGCTCTTCCAGGGCCGGGTATACACGCCGTATTCTGTCAAACACACATCTCTGTGATGTGACTATAACCATTGTTGAGATACAAGCTACAATTCTTGAAACTCAACAATTCCAATTCCTCATTTACTTGCTAGTTTGCGCCATGTGATATTGTGGGAGGGCTTGTGCTCAGATGAATAGTTAGTATGGGGAAAGGAGGCAGTACAGCAGCTTTAAGCTCCTCAAGCATTGTGTGCAAGCGTCAACTGATCTGTTTTAATATATATTTATAGATATATTGTTTTGTCAAGAATGGGCTTCGTGCATTCATAGCAGAAAGCACATATTCTCTTTTGTTTTGCATTATAGCTGCACATAGAGGCCAATAAGCCCAGGTAGCCCTATCCCTTGTAGAAACAAAGCCTGGCTTTTTCCATGATATCTATTAGTGAAAACAGCTGAGTGTACCAAATGACAAAATAAAGAAAAACAAGGCAGTTTGATGCGCTGCTAAAGTTAGTCCGGATCTCGACAGCTTGATGAAACAATGGAAAGTAAATGTATATCTGAAGGCTCACAGACGCCACAGTTAGTTTGTGGAGCCAGCCTTTGCACTCACACACACCCTCCCACCTCTAAAGCAATCAGCAAGCCAAGCTAAATTTAATCTACAGCTTGTAAATATCGGTATAACAATGTCTATCTTGTAATGGATTAACCGATAACAGTTTCATGCTCACTTAGGGCTGTATTTCTTTTGATGTCAAAGTAGCTAGGGTCTCTGACTTCAAGGTAAAGCTAGCCAGACCAACACATGCGCTGTTCAGGTCCAACTCCAGAGATGCTACCCAGCTAGCGAGGCTTAACGTCATTAGCGAGCGGTTGCATGAATTTGACACGAGAACAAAGGAACAGTTTACACCAAGTGCTCCCATTGTTGTCGACAGCAGTAGGTGATGGTTTTCCAATCAAACTGCACCACAGACTGGGGGCGGGGGGTTCATTTGCCTGAGTTCTAAACCCAAACAGGCTTTTATGACTCCTGTTCTGCAGCCACCTCCAGTCCAAGTACAGCCTCGTATGGAATAACACAATCAACCGTACCTACATCCGTCCCAAACACACCTCCCACTCACTTTGAAGGTTCAGAGTCCCCGCCGGCACGGCAAATGTTCACAACACTGGATCTGCCTGTCACACATTTGTGCAATTAGTCGACGGCGGGGTGTCAGCTTTGCTGCGAATCTCCTTGATGTCGTTGAGCGGGTAGTCGCTCGTGCCAATCTGGCATTTGAACACCTGCTTGTAGGCCTTCCTGAAGTTCTCCGACAGGAAGGCGTAGATGACCGGGTTGACGGACGAGTTGCTGTACGCCAGGCAGTGGGCGGCCACCCGTAGCACGAAGGAGGCCTGGTTCAGCGGGAAGTTCCCGAACTCCACCCAGAGATGAACGACGTGGTGAGGGAGCCAAGACAGGCAGAACACCACCACCACCACCAGCACCGTCTGAGCCGTCTACAAAAAGTAGAGACACAACGCACAAACCAACATTAGAGAGTCTTACTCGGTAGACTCAGAGACATCACTGATAGCATCTGCATCATTTCTAGAATGCAAAAGAGGAAGGTTTCCAGATATTCTTAATTTACGTAGGTGTCTTGGCTGCTAATTTAATTTATCCCATTATTAAACAAGACTTGCTGTAAGACTGCATTGTAAGTGGACACAAAATGGAAATGGAAATCTTATGATGTAAGGTTTAAGTCCAAAAACACATAATCTTATGCGTACAGCACATAAGCCACTTATGGCTGAGTTATTGTACATCCAGTTGCGTCTTTAATGAAAACATGGAGCCATAAATCTTTATTTCACCTAAATCTGCAGCAATGATTTAAAGGCAGTAATGTAAATCCAGTATTCATTTTCCCCTTGGCTCAACTTCGATCAGCAACCAGTGAAAACAGACTACCGCCTGCTCCATAGTTCACCAGCTAATGGCTGATTCATGGAGCAAAGCAGGAATACAATGTTTTTCATAGCTTTTGCGCTATTAACTCTTACCAGCTGCAGCTGGAAATGAGGTTTGTAATGAGGTTGTAACAGAGCTACAGGCTGAAAAATAAGACCAAACCACTGAGCTGAAACCTGAGAGCTGACAAGAAGCAGATGTCTTAATGATTTTCAAGCGATCCCTGCCACCATATATTTTGTCATTTGATTTACAGCTACAACAAGAAGTACTTATTATTGCTCTTTTAAACTAATGGCACACCACATGGCACAGCGGGCGCATTTACATGCACACGTCGTAAAAATGTAATTGTATTGCAAAAGGCCGACCACTACCACATAAATCATGTCATCCCATTGATAACCCTTTCAGCAAATCCAGATCCAATCCACTAAATGTTTACATATATTACTGGAAGCGATCTAATGAATCAGGTGGGATGCAAAGACTCATGCACATTTATGCACATGCAGAGGCCATAGAATAGAAAACAAATACACAGAGAAAATTCCATGTTTAATTCTAATCATGCATATGACCATAGAGCGAGCTGGATGTTTAACTCTGCATTTGAAAAAGAAGAAAACTATTTGCATTTGCATTTTCAGCAAACTAATAGAATGTAACTATTCAAAGGTACCTGGAAACTATGATGCATGTCTATTTCCCTGAAACCAATTAAAGGGCTGATGGAAATTGTATTGTTGTTTGTAAAATGGTATAAAAAACGCAATAAATCCCATTCAATTTAAATACCCCTGACCTTTTAATACCATTACGTTTAATACAAGAGCGGCAATATGGTGCCGTGGTTATCAAAAAGGCTGCATGCTCCAATTCAAAATTGAAAATAAAGTACACAGCTTGCTGAGACTGCAAAAGCAAAACAGAATTAATTCAATATTTAAAATCATAGACAATTACCTCTGGTGAAACTATCAGCAAAGCCAAAGGATAAAGCTGGGAAGTATCACCATTTAAAATTAACTAAAGACTAATTACATGCTCCCTGATCTCTCAATCCCTCTCCTTGTATTTCTGCAGCAGGTAAGGACTCCGTGACTAATTAATACCATCACAGATTGTTCTCTTTATTTAGTTTAAAGTTCAGAAAGTTAGGAATTATGTGCTTTTTGAGAAATGAGCGTGCAGCAATTTGCACCACAAATAAACACAAGTTGAGTAAAACAAGAAAAAGAAAACAGTTTTTAACCACAAAAGTGGAACATACAGTCAAGTGAGTGCGACACTTCTAGACAGCGGGATATCTAAACCCAGAGAATAGTAAAAGTACTTGAATACTAGAGTGTGCAATGAAAAAACAAGAGAAACATTAATTTACCACCCGAAAAACTTAACAGTGGAACTTTGAAGTGGGTTTGTACATAAACAGGCAGCCAGTGTAGGTTGTTTAGACAGAAGTTATATGACCTCCCATTCTAATTTCAGCTTGTGCCACAAACCTGTCAACAGCAAAGTGGAAAGCTTTTTGCAATATGTGGTGCTGATGAGCCAGGTCATGGAGTGTAACAGTCGCCGTGGGAAATGGAAAGAAAGTTTGCAGCATTTTGTCAGCTCGGTTGAGGTTTCGCCCTAACAATATTGCACATATAATGAAAAGATTGTGTATGGTTTGCATGGCAAAGTAGCAAATTAGTATCCGAGTGGACCTGAGTGAGTCATCTGTACACTGCCACCCCCTCACCAGTCAGCGTGAGAGCAAAATAACCCGAAAAACATATGTATTAGAATCAAATTTAATCCTTTTATTCTTGCCTGTACAAGAACACTGGATGGAAAAAAAATGCACTTTGAATTTCCGCCTTCACCTTAAAAACCAGCAGGAAACTTCTCAAAGTTTCATTCTCCAGTTTCATTATAATACTTCAAGCTTTCTTCCACTAAAATCAACAAGAATGACAGATACTGTTCCAACTTTAAGCATTCAATATGAGTTTTCGTTTCAGTCATTTTAAAATCTCTGTATTCAAAAAGAGAAAAAAGGTGGATTAAAGTTAAAATTACTTAAGAAAAAGATACTTTAAGTTGGGTCTCTGAGGGAAGGCAATAATTGACTGTTCTTATAGAATTAGTTATAAATTAGAGAGAAAGCTTTAAAAAAGAAAGTGATGTGAAACCTGTGTTTATAAGGCAGAAACGATAGGGTTAACAAGTAGGGATCTTGTAGAGCAAATTAGATTTATTGGACCTTTTGGGGGGTTGGGTTTCTTGTTCAAAGTTATTTTAGTGTCTCGTTGGGGTTATTTTCTATTTTGTCTTAGATTACTTGGTTCTAGTTCAATTATCTCTGTCCCTTTCAAAGTTCTGGTTTCCCGTTTTTATTTTGGCATCTGTCACAGTTTCCTGTTACTCTGAGTTTCTACCATCTTCACTTTGCTCTTTGTTTCACCAGCTCTACATTCTACGAATCACTCTCCCCTCCATTTATACCCCTCTGTTTCAGTCATTCTTAGTTAGATCCTTGCCACAGACTGCTGTGAGACTTGGCTTCGCTGTGTGTTAGACAGTGTCTTTCTCCTTGTTTCCTTCAGTCCATGTTCAGGCTTTTGAATTTCTATTTTTGTATCCACCCTTAGCTGTGTCTTTTGTTTTTTATAGAATAGCCTTAGCTCACCTTAATCCCTTTGATTGCTGCGTTCCTTCCCTGGCCCTGCAATAAGATCACCACACCCAAGGCAATCATGACATGTAGGGCAGCATTTATCTGACAATAGCCTTGGTTTTATCTTTAATATGTAACCCTAATCATGTACTCATGATTAGTAGATCTAACCCCTTCCAACTGACAGCAAAGTAAAGAACTGGATCTTCAAAAATATTGAGGCTCACACTCAGTTTTCAGATTAAAGCATGTCATCCCCTAATAGTTTTTCTTTTTTTTATGTTTTAAAACTTTGTTACAAATATGTTGCCTTGAATTAGCCATTGAAATAAAAATGTTCCAAATCCACTTTTGAAAAAAGTCACTATTACATGTTGTTGGCGTGACTGTGCTGAAAAGAATCCAGCTCAAGGATCTGAAAGTTAAAAACCGGAGTGGAAAATATAAGAGATGAAGTGTAAAACATTGGTCACGGTAAAGCATTCAGCTTTTTCTTGAGAAATGTTGTTTTGGGCCCTTTTTTCCCCCCTAAGTCATGTCCATGGAATATGATGATGGACCTGAAACATAATTGGAAAACAAAGCCAGGCATGATGTCATTTTGTAATGAGGAAAAGTGAGGATGGCTAACTTTTTCCAATAAGTTCTCAAACATCAGTCATAAATTTCCTATAAATCTCTATCTGTTCCGGACACTGAATCCCAGAAAGTTATCTCACCTCCAAAGTCTTTCAGCTCAGTGATGTTTAACGGGTGTCTTCCAAATCACCTCCATCTTTTTAGAGGGATTAGGATCAGGGGTTTGACAGGCCCCTTACATAAACTCTCAATTACGTTCTTATGGTGGTTGGATTTATGGTGGAGCAGCCCCGAATACTCCCAAAGTAGTCCAATACAGGCTTATTATAGATATTATTTTATCTTGAACCTAGTTCACGGAAATTTGTCATGCAGCATGACGTCAGCCACTCATTGTTGTTTCAATAAAAGATCCATTTTCTACCCACATTAAAAAGGGACAGTGAGGATTGGGGATTGAAACCCTGCTTCAAAAATTCTGGCTATGTGCTGCCAGGCTGTGTGCATAAGACCTGTGTGCATGGACCATAAGTTTAAAAACGTCTCCAGGAGGCAAAAGATAGCTACATCAAAATCATCCCTGTTCCTCTGTCACTTTGGTGATTCAAAGAGGGGAAATAAACCCCGCTTAAAATAGCTCCAGAGGCCACTGAAAGATGACAGTTGTTTGTGCCGTAAGAGATTTAATTTAAGAAAGGAATGAAGTTTGGCCATTCACGCACTAGATATCCCTATTTTTTTTCCAGATGCCATTAGAAGATTTGACTGGGCCAAATATTCATTTTTATAATGACCCATAACCATCTGTGTGCTCTGGCCGGAAGCCTGACCGACTCCAACAGTCTCAAACTCCTTGAACAGCCAATGAGCGCCTATTATTGGCTTTTTTACCCTCTCCTTCCACACTGAGAATCCAATAAGCAAAACATCCCGTTTGCCAAATTAAATAAGAAGCATTGATTTTTTTTTCTGATCTTTTTATATTTATGATTGGATTATTTTATCCCTCAAATACAACACGTTTCATCTGGAACTGTGGCCCCACAACTCTTGCGGTCCAGGCTGAACACATTTTGTCTCACAGTACCTGCAGGAGAAGGAATCAATTATTTACAACATAGTTTTAGATTTGGCTCCTCGTGATGTCTGTGAAGTTTGACAGCTGTGTGATTTCCTGGGTGCCTGAACGCGATAAGAGGTTTGTGTTTCTCCACGGCGGCGGGACTGACCTTGTTCTCTCCAGGTGCCATAAACATTGTATTTCAAAGGCCTGGCAGCAAGCTTGTCAGCTATAAATGTTATTGGCGACACTGCATAGTGTTTACTCGTCTCATCCGGTTTCTCAGAAGGAACCCGCTGTTTAGCTGACATATCCAGTCATGCATCTCAATAGCAGATATTAACAAAACGTGACACCAGCCTCAGATTTACTGCAGCCACATTTTGTGTTGGCTCTATCGCACGTTTCCCTGGAGACAACCTAGTTTAGGCTTGAAAGAATCATTTCATATTTTGGGAGGATGATAGAAGTGTGTGCTCAGCGTGAAAACTGGTGGCTGAAGGGTGAAGCCAGCTTGCTTTATATCTTATTCATGTCGGCCACACAGAAACTAAACCGAGTGGCAAGTGGTCACACACACATATGCTGTGTACGCATTTGGGCCAAGTGGGAAACCCATTCTTAGTTTCTGTGGAAATGTGTCCTTCTTTTATGGAAATGGATAAAGATCTGAAAAAGTCAGTGTTCATGGTTTACATACTGGTCGCCCCACAGCCTGTTTTAGGTCTGGACCCCTGAGGCAGAGTGTTTCTTCCCTATAAAGGAGTGGTTGCCTATGTTCGGATTGTTTTTGGCAGAGCTAAGCAACAAGTTCCTTCTCTTTTGATATGACCGAAACAGCCAGGGCTGTAAAGCTGCTGGCAGTACCAACAAGTCCTCCGCTCAAAATGACCGAGCAGGTTGTTTGTTTAAATCATTTAATATTCCCCACAACGTCTTCCAGCTATCACCCTGACAGGAGTAATGTGACTCATAAAAGTGTTTTGCGTCTGAGGGAATGTTGTTTACAAGAGCTGCCCAAAACAAAATTAGCAAATCCTCTTCCTCTGGAGTTAGTGCTGTCAAAAAAGGCGACCCGTGCAAGTCATTAAGAAAAAAAAATCAGCTAAACTCTCCATGTTGAATTGAATGAAATTCCTGGCATTCTATTTGGTGAAATCTCATGGGGATGTTGCAGCAGAAAAACAAATCCATCCTCAGTGGTACCAAATCCTCGCCAACCAATTAGATCAGAGAAACCACAACAACCACGGAAAACATGAAGGGGAAAGTTACATGTTGAACTGTATGAGGATTGACCCATGGTTACTATTATTTGGGCACACGAGGCCATCCTGAGCATGGGTTCACTTTGCCATGTGCCCCACATGTCTGAGATTGCTCTAATATGGTGAGAATAGCTCTTTTCATACATGTCACACCAATAAAAATGTGTTGATTAAGCTACAAAGCATGCATGTTCATTCCATGTTAACACAGTCCCTATGGAACAAATGGTGGGCATCCAGCAGGATCTGGAAAGCTTCGGTGCACAATAACCAGGTGGGATTTTAGCTAAGAGCGAGAAAGAAAAAGCAGCTGGGAAGTTGAGTCATCTCTAGACACAGAACCCATGTTGTGCCAATTTATTTCCTCCTGGAAGTGCATTTATCTGCCTGCACCTTTCGCTAAATTTCACACCACAGAAGTCAATGACAATCAGCAGCCATTACACCTCTAAAGTTTAGCCTTTTTTATAGATATATAAATTTTAATAAAAGATTGTGAGTATTGTTAAGAGATTTTATGATGGGTTTAGGTCTGCTGTTTAACGGTGTGAGCTCTTTCTAAAAATAGACCATTGACAGCCAAAGAAAAAAATGGAGTGATGGAAGCATCTCACATCCCTGCCTCTACATAAACGCAACATACGGTTGTTTTAATTGTTTTTGGCAGCTTTGCACTGCGTGCGCAAACTGTCATTCGTCATAGTAACAGCACGCTGGTTAAACGTATATGTATTACAGCTTAGGCTAAACGCATTGTTTGCCAACCATTTATCACGGAGGCTTGTAACATTCCCTCTGTGCCTTCTCTCTGCACTCTGCTCAGTGAACCCAGTAAATCAGGAGAATATCTCACATTCCTCTTTACCTCCCACGGTCATTCTTAAGCCTCGTGCAATAAAGCGTGTTTGAAGAGAGACACACAGCCATGTTAAATCACATTTACATTCTCATCAGCGTCTCCTCTCCCGGCCGGCCCGGAGCCCTTACCGGTGGCTTTATAGCACGCGGCGGTTATCAGATTGGGCTTTTAAACTGGCCAGCTGTGAAGAGCAACAGCCAGACAGAGACATAGACAGACGGATCTGCACTCAGGCGGGCGATGGCAGATAACTGTCTCTCGGTGAAGGTACAGTAAATGACCGCCACCGAGAATAATGAGGGCTAGATGGCATTCTGATTGCCCATTCCCTTTTGGGCACTTTGCTGGAGTGTGCCAGTCCACAGGAAGCACTGAAGCATTAACTCTCACTATGAGGGTTCTTGGGAAAAGGCAAAGCTGGTTTCTTCTTACCGGCTGCTGGATTAGAGGCAGCAGCGCAGCATCTCATACAGACTCGCTGGTTCCTGGGCAGCCAATCATATACGTCTTTCCTTATGGTCCATTAACACTAAGCTCTGCTTTGAATCACGATTTCACTCATGCACGTGAATAGAGTGCATGCCGATTATATTCTACCTCATAATCAAATGTATAGACCAGAATTGTCACTGTTTGATGGGGGGGACTAGATGCACTTTGTGATGAAATTTTATAATAAAAGATAAGACCTTTGACACTGCTTTTCCAGAGAGATCTATCCCATAACTGAGGCTTCGGGGAGAGAACTATTGAACATAATTTGATACACTGTGAGCTTATACTGAATCCATTCAGCTATATTTGTTTGCATGAATTCAACAGGTGGCAGACAGCCTGTTTTCACCCACAATCCATACTAATGCAAACTGTTCTCTAGAAATGAACAGATAAAATTGTAAGAAGTTTACGTATATAAATCTATGAACCATCATATAAACTTCAACACTCAATTTTCCAGAACTGAACTGATACATACCTTTTTCTTTGATGCCTCTGACTTTTTGGACATATTTCTGAGTTTCTTGTGCAAGTGATTTAGCACCTGGAAACAAGACAACACAGATATCATTTACTTCTGTTTTATTTCTCCTTATTTGTGATTGCAGAATGGCTCATCTGGAGGCTCCCTTACCTTTGCGTAACAGAAGGAAATCAGCAGCAGGGGCAAAACATAACCGAAAACAAACGTGCACACCACGTAGATTTTCTTCTGGTTTTGATCCGGCCACACTTCCCAGCAAAAGGTGTGATTCTCCCCGCGGTGAAAAATGTTCTGGTAGTACATGATGGGCGCCGCCATGGCCAGGGAAAGGATCCAAATCACCACAACGCCGATCAGCGCGTGCCTCGCCACTCGGATGGAGGACGACTTTCTGGAGTGCACGATGGCGATGTAGCGGTCCACGGACATGGCAGAGAGGGTGAAGATGCTCACCAGCATGGACACGGTGAAGAAATAGTGGATGAACTTGCAAATGAACGCGCCCAGGACCCACGTCGGCATCATGTAAATGGTGGACTGGAAGGGGATGCAGAAAAGCAAGTAGGACAGGTCCGCTATGCTGAGGTTGAGGATGAAGATGTTGGTGGTGCTCCGCGGTTTGCCGGGCTTGCTCCGGGCCAGCACCGTGATCACCATGGAGTTGCCCAGCACCCCGAGCGTAAAGATGAGCCCGAAAACCAGCAGCGTGATGAAATTATCCATGCCGATCCCGAATAAAAGTTTCTGGTCCTCCTCCTCCTCCTCCAGCACTCTGCTGAGGTTCCACGGCTCCCCGAGGAGCCACGCAGCCTCTGACGAGTTCATGATTTAGTCTTTCCTCCTCAGACCAACTTGTTATTTTACCAAAATGAGATACTGGAGTTAAGTTTCCCGCTCCTGTCTCATGGCACAGAGTTTTGGCAGTGGATAGGTTGTGGTCCGGTGCGTCCCCATAAGCGCTCCTGCAGAGTTGCGCTATCCTTTTGGTTAGACCCTGTACTTCTGTACTTTACATCAGTGTCTAGTTAGAGCTAAGAATATTTCAAATCTACACTATTTTATGCACAGCATTCAACATTTTTTGCTGCTGAGCATCATGGACTTCCTCCGTCTCCCGGTGCGCACCTGATGCGTCGGCGCGCTCATCCACTCTGTAGACTTGCTCACTGCGTCTGGACTTTTCCCCCCTCACACTCATACGGGGGCTGGGTTGGGCCATGCACGTCAGCGCCAGTACCACCTCCCAGACATTCATTCTGAGCGAGGAAGAAAAAAAAATCGTTTGGAGGTTTTTTTTGGTTTTGTTTTTTCAATTCGTCACATTTCTGTATCCGTCCCTGGGTAATGTGAATGCCAGAGGCCAAAGCCATTTTCTCAGACATACACAGTTTAGCTAATGTCTTCCACCGCAGGTGCAAATGGACTGTCAAAATGGAACCTTAATAAGGTACATGTTTCATAACAGAGTTGTTGTGAGTGACTGATTTCTGTTTTGCGTTTTTTTTTCTCACACAGAGGAGACAAACTCACCCAACAAAACTCTGACAAACCTTTCAGGGCAGCCCATAGGTCTGCATTTGTTTTGTGTTTTTTCTGTCCGACAGTTTGCAAGGTAATTCAAAAATGAATATCCATATAGAGAAGTTGTAGAGGGTAAACTCTGAAAAATAGCTTATTTTGACCTGCATCCGTGCTATAAAGTTCCAACAGGTTTAAAGAAACATTTCATTGTTTTCTAGATAATCATGTAGGCTAGAGAATTTGTTGGTGAAAAGCACAGATTTTTTCCCCATAATGCTTCCTCCGTCCTATTGGAAGGTCACAGGTCATGTGTCCGATCTTTACTGATGTTTTATTCACTGTTCAAAAAAGCATAAACTATTTAACACCATCCTTCTGCCATCATGTGTTTTGTTTTTATTTTTTTAGGGCCAACAGCTTCTTTTGTCCACTCAATATGCCAAGTTTTCAGTTTACAGCTCATTAGAAATCCTCTTTTGGGTTAAAAATGATACTCACTACCAATTTGCTGTTTTCCCACTGCTGTTTCAGTTTTCTTTCTTTTTCTTTTTCTCTGCTCCAGGAGCTGCATTTGTCTGCCTTTTTTATGACAATATCTACCTAAACTAACCGGTGGTTAATAAATAATTCACAGATGCAGCCTTTAACCCTGCCAGCACAGGGTGTGTCTTTATCTCTTCTCAAAATAGTAGATAAAATAACAGTGTCTTTAATTGATTGTGAAATATGTTGGACACATTGGAATTAACTCCATGGACTTCCACATTAGCCTGTCATTCACCAAAAGCTATTCTTACTACATTCTCTCACGCAGCAGAGATTTCCCCGGAGACCGAGAAGGTCAAGTCGAGTTGCTGATGGAAATTTCATTTATGAACTATTGACTTATTGTTCAGTTTGATGGAGGGACCGCAGCACTGAGCACATCATGCCACAGCTCACTGAAAAATGCCCTGATATGATATGCAGGAATAACATTTATCCCCTTAAATGTACGGTCTGCGCTCACTCCCGTGACATGTGCTCAGCCAAGCTGCCAGACCAGAAGGCCACTGGCAGTCCGTCATCCATCAGCCGGAAATGGGTGCCCGTTATTTCAAATGATGGATCTTTTAGGATCATCCTCAAATGATTACCTCTAAGGACCTAACCTTGTCAAAGTGAGGAGTATCAGTCACGACTTTCCTTTGTGAAATGATCACAGTGAAGACAGAAATTTAGAGAAAACAAGTTATTTGCATAGAGAGTTGTTAATGATTAGAGGTGGGTAGAGAGCCTTGAGGTTGCTGCCTGAATTTGAGAGAAGCTGGAAAGAAAATGGGCCTAGAATCTAGAGGCAGGGTCACAATTGAGCAATGATCAAAACATAGATAGGCAGATGTCAGGCACTTAACCCGGGAATAAGAGACTGGAGAAAGTTAAAGTAGAGCTGGTGAAACATGACCCAAATGGCTTTAGCTGTGCCATACATGTGAATCGGTTGTTCAAATATTCAAATATGTGTCACTGAAGGGCTGTTTCAGGTCAGCTTGGAGCTGTGTTCAGTCCTGTAATGAATGCCTCCATTAACTATTTCAGCTCTGACCATCACTGCTTTGTAATGGTGAAAGAGTCCTTACACAAAAGCCTGAAGTTTGGCTTATTTCTGGACCTATCTCTGGGAATGATGCCAGACATGCTTTAATGTGTTACCTTTGGGGAAAAAATCAAATGAACAGACTACTTATAAGCTGATAAGCAACTAAAATCCATTTTGTCGTATTGCTCCACCCTAAGGGACTTTGTTTGAAATGTATATGCATCTCTTCTTAAAAGTGTTGCAGAGTCTATAATACAATAATAATCTCATCCATCATTCCACCTTTTATTACACCTTAAACCAGTTTAGGACGAGGAGGGGACTGAAACCCCTCCTGGCTGCCGTTTGGTGAAAGGCAAGGGCCATCTTGGACCAGTCCATCAGCCTATCACAGAGCTACGGCAACCCCCAGAGAGACATTTTAGTTGAGAATAAAGAGAACCATCATTACAAATTGTTTGCATTCAGTCATTGTTCTTTTCAGAAGTGGTTTCCAATCGGTCTTTATTACAGCTGAACTGACGTAGCCTCTGACTGAGGACATTCCATTGTTTAATCGTCATGACATTTCATTTTCACAGCACCACATATGAACGGAGGATCGATACATGTGTTCAAAATGTAGTGGCCTCACCGTATTGGGTTGTTTTTCATTGCCTGTCAGTGCTAAGGTGATGTCGTAAAAACTTGAAACCATGTCTTTTAAATGTCTAAATCCTCAGTCTGCAACATGCTTTTTTTTTTTACCCAACCCCTCCTCAATAGACCTGAAGGTTTAAAAGTAAAAGGTTGCTGGACAATATTGGTTCTCTCACAGGAATATCCTAAAACAACGCAGTTCTCTCTCATTCTGGAGTGAGGCATCATGGGCCATATAGTTCATCACAATTCCCGTGTTAAGTAACTGTTGTAACCCTCTTGTTTGCACAGTCAGCTCTATGGCTTCAGGAACAGTCCTTAGCACAGAGACAGCCCTCCTTATCAGTTTGTTCATAATGTTTGCAAAGCAGTCGTTTGTCTGCACATGACGTACCATTACCATTCCTTTTCAGCCGTGTTTTCTCACCCCATGGAGACTGGAGGACTTCTTGGCTCAGAATTCCAGCTATTGCGGGAGATACCAACAAGGTTTAGTGGGTCCTTGGTTCTAAATTCTGGCACAAACTATAAAAAGCAGAAAGGAATGTGACTCTCCATTAATAGAGTAATTCACCACTTTAAAGTTACCGAGATGCATAGAGTTTTGCAAAAAGCTGCATACATCAGTTTTTCTTTCAGTTTAAAAGCGTCACCTCTGAGCAGCAGCGATTGCCACACAGCGGAGAGACGTAGGTGGGGAAGGGTCATAACGAGGGTAATTCACTTCTTTCTGCGCTCACCGTGAGTTTCAAATCCCACAAGTGTGTCTGAGTTCTTGCCGTGCCTCACAGCAGAAGTGTATCGGCACAATCGGCAGGTCAGCGCGCAGAATAGAGAGCTCACGCATCCCAACGATCGTTCGTCTATTCAGACATGATTAGATTGCATGTAACCTCTAAAATGGTCAGTGTAATTGTTATTCAAAGGTCAGACAAAAGGGCCAGTACAAAACGAATAGATGAATAGTAGATTCTACTGTAATATGATACAGCACTGGGTACTACTATTGACATTTTGTGCACTGTATAGATTGTGTACGAGTTTTTTCCTTCCCCACAGACCATGTAATTGTTCAATTCTCTGCATATGGCTTTCTCTAAATGTCATGGCAAATTATGCCTGTCTTTTTTTTTACCCTTTTAGCTGTGTCCTCTCATATGTCTGTCATGACATGTATGCTTCGGTTCTATTGTTCAAAAGGCATTGTTGAGATTTTTGGAGCTTGTACAGTCATTCTTAGGCAGCCGCAGGAGGGGGATTAGAGTCGTCTGCCCATCAAAACGGTCTGTGGTTTCATCCCCAGTTTCTGCCGTTCGTGTGTGGCAAGTCCTTGGGCAGGAATGCCTGCGAAAGCAGTCTCTTTTAGCCTTTAATACAGTATTTGTGTGTGAGTGAACGGTTGAATGAGGCCTGTAGAATTAATTGTTTTTACGGCTTGTAATTGCCGAGCTATATATTAGTTGCGAGTAAAATATGTAATGTCGTACTTGTGTACAACAGAGTAGTTTCCCAGCTCTTCGAGCCACGTGCCAATGTCTGTTTTTCACATTTCTCTACTCCACATGAATGGGTCTTTATCAGTGCTTTCACAGTTTAACAAACCTAAAAGCTGACCCAAGGGCACGTGGAGAGCACATGCCCCTATACCGCTTTTGTTCTTTTCTTCCTGGTTTAGTTAGTTTTTTATAAACCTTTTGTAAATCTATCCATATATTTTCTATACCTCCAAGTAAGAGGAGGGGACTGGAGCAAGGACAAAGGCCATCATAGTTTTATAAAACCTCTCACTGTAAATACACACATTTTTTTCCTTATTTTTTTCTGTTCTAGTGTTCTCTGCTGGGTTCTTTTCTTTGCGCTTCGGAACTTAGCTCTTGCTGTGTGGTACCCATGGTCTCTTGTTAAGTTTCGAAGCTTGTTTGTATATCCGTACATTTAGACCCTCTTGCCCACGTATCTTGACGCAAAGAAGTGCTCAGCAAGGTTGTCTCTCAACCTCAAGACATTTCCCTTAACGAGATAAAAGAAAATAGCTTCGGAAAAGTCAATGGGAGGATCGTTTTTCTGTATTCCTGCATGGCTCTCT